CCCCCCCCCCCCTGACAGTATGCTGTTGTTGCTGCTGTTGCTCGCCCGTGCCCGCGTCGCTAACCGCTGGTTGTATGCTCGACGCTGCGCAGTCCGAGGTTCAGAACAACTTTGCCCAGATCGGCAAGATCCTCGGCAAGATCGACACCAATGTTGTTGGTGCGTGCTCGTCCGCTCCCGGGTCGGTGGCTGCAGCTAGCCGCTGCTGTCGTCGCAACCTGGCTCCTGCTCTTCCCCTTGCCTGCTCTCCTGACCACCCTTTCGCCCCTCTCTCTCTCTCTCTCTCGGTTGCTCGCTCGCTTTCGCGCCCCTCTGCGCCGCCTCGATAGATGTCACCCTCGCGCCGACTTTCGTGCACATCCCCCTGGCCAGCACCCTGGTCGGGTCCATCCCCGGCATGAGCCTGGCGTCGCAGAACTGTGCCCCCAGCGACGCCGGCGCCTTCACCGGCGAGGTTTCGTGCGCCATCCCTCCTTTTGGCCTTGCCCGTGAGATTGCCCCTGCCTCTAACCCATGCGCCGATTGTCCCCGGTGCCTCCCCTTCGACAACCATACACACACACACACACACACACACACACACAGCCCCTCCCAGCTCAAGGAGTTTGGCGTGCAGTGGGTGATCATCGGCCACAGCGAGCGCCGCACTCTCTTCGCTGAGCCCACCGAGGTGCGCCAATCCCGGTCGCCAGGACCAAGAGTCGGCTTCGATGCATCGCCCCTCCTTCCTTTTGCTCTCCCTCCTTCCCTCTGGCTCTCTCTCCCTCTCACACACACGCGCACGCGCACGCGCACACGCACACGCAGCTTCTCAAGCAGAAGGTCAACGCCGCCCTCAAGGCCGGTCTTGGGGTCATCCTCTGCATCGGCGAGGCCCAGGTGGAGGAGGGCCGCCCGGCTTCGGAGTCGGTGGTCATGCAGCAGGTTCGGGACATCTTCCTGGCCGCGTCCGACGCGCCGGCCTTCGACCCGTCGCGCATCGTCATCGCCTACGAGCCGGTGTGGGCCATCGGCACCGGGCTGACCGCCACCCCGGACTATGTGCTGACCATGCACACGGAGATCCGCCGGGTGCTGGCCGAGCTTCCGGGGCCGGCGGCCGGCGCCGCCGGCGCCGCTGCCGCTCGCATCATCTACGGCGGCTCCGTCACCAAGGCCAACTCCTTTGACCTGGCCAAGATGTCCGAGGTCAACGGGTTCCTGCTGGGCCGCGCCAGCACCCAGGCCGAGGAGTTCGCCGCCATCATCAACCTGGCCAGCCAGGCCAAGGCCGAGGGGAAGTAGGAGCCCCTTGCTTCCGGCGTCCTGTCATGATGTTTTTTTTTCTGCCCTGCGCGCGCGCATATCTCTCTGTGTGTGTGTGTGTGTGTGTGTGTCTCCGCCAATAGCACTCTCAGAACCTGCGTATTCCTGTCCGTTTGTCTGGTGGGGGCTGGGGTGGAGGTCGCACGCGCTGTTCCATCTCTCGTGTGTACCGGAGGCATCACGCATCGAGTGGATGCTCAGCCTCTTGGGCGGGGAGCGAGGGGAGAGAGAGAGAGAGAGAGAGAGAGAGAGAGAGAGAGAGAGAGAGAGAGAGAGAGAGAGAGAGAGAGAAAGAGAGAGACAGGCATGAGGCCGGGGAAAAAAACAAAGGGGCAGCCATCCAGCCAGTGCCGTCGGAAGCGCGGATGCCAACGGAGGGCGTTCCCACACCCGGGCCGCCTGGCGTTGTGGGGTTGATACTGGGTCTCCAGAACGCCGGCCCATAGCGGGGCGGGGTTTGATTTGGTGTACCAGCAAACCCGCGGGGAGCCGGAGGGGGGGGGGCGGGGAACCGCTTCGACCAGGAGAGGGCCGGCTGAGTGACCGCCAGCGCGCGGTGTGATGGGCGGAGGGAGGAGGGCAGCTCATGGGCAAGCGTAGGCAGCCCGCCGGCCACCCCTGCCGTCAGGCTCACTTGGGGTGCGATCGACACGACCGTGACCGTGCGCGCGAGCGCGCGTCTGAGATCGGGGCTGCCAGGGGCACGCTCTGGTCGAGATATGGCGGGGGGGGGAGGACACGCGTGTGGGTGAGAGTGAGGGCGTCCGGCGCATGCCACGTCCCGGGAATGCGGGGCGACGGTCCGGATGGATGGAGGGGCTCTTTACCGATCGGGGCGCCTGTCCTGCGCCGCTATGCGCGTGCGCGGCCACGAATGTGGCCCGCCACCTTTTGTGCGACACATTCTCCAAGCCGGGGGCGGGGAGGGGGCTGAGTTGGACAGATTTCTCAGGCCCCCCTACACGAACCTCCCCTCCCTCCCTCATCCCTCCCCACCCCCCCTCCCCCTCGGCCTTTGCCCTCTCCTCCATCTATCTTCGCCCCCCTTCCTAAACATACGACCCGCACACAGATACACCCACTACGCACGCACGCACGCACGCACGCACGCACGCACGCACATCCCCCGCCATGAAGCCGCAGCAGGCCCGCTGCACAAAGTGCGCGGCTGACGGCCAGCCGGACGACTCGGTCCTTGTGTCTATGGCCCGGTCGCTCTTTCAGTGGCGTGGCAATGCCGCTGGCGGTGGCCATGGCATCGACAGCCCGGCCGCCGATGACCGAGCCCGGCCCCACCGGGAGGAGCATCGCCAACTGACCCAGGACCCGTGGGTACGGCTGGCCATTGCCGCGGCCTACAACGCCCTGGCCGGGGACCTGTCATTGAGCCAGTTGCTGCTGGTCGAGAGTCCCGGGGCGGTGCTGCCGGTGGTTGCAGCCCCAGCCGGGTGGCCCGGGCCCGACTGGGGCCTCAGCACCACCGGGTCGGGCGATTGGCCTGGCGAGGGGTCCGGTCCTGGCTCGGACCCGGCCAGTCCTCTTCACCCGTGGCCCGGCTCTCCCGGGGGGGATTTCTCGGCCGAGACGGTGGCCCTGGACCGGGCCCCGCCCGTGCCCGGTCTCCCGGCTCAGGATGCCGAGCTCCTGGCCCGCCTGCAGGACCCGATCGACCGGCTGTTGAAGACCTTCGCTGAGACCCTGCAACACCAATTGAATGTGCGCTCTGTCTGGCTGTCGCCTCCTGAGTGGCGTGCTGATCTGGCTCCCATGATGCCTTTCCCTCTCCTCCTCCTCCTCCTCCTCCTCCTCCTCTTCCTCCTCCTCCTCCTCTCTCTTGCCATCTGCCGGGCCTCGTCCCTTCCAGCCCCCCCCCCTTCTCCTCCTCGCACCCTGCCCTCCCCTGCCCTCTTCCCTCTGGGGGGTCGTCCTTGACATCTCTAACCCCATGCACCGGGGCCCGGTCGCCGCCTGTCATCCGGCCAGCAGGGCCCCATCTATGATAAGGTAGCCCCACTGGCTTCATGCCCGTGTGTGACGGCCCTTTTCTTGGGCAACTTGGAGCGCTATTTTTTCAAGCAATTTCACAGTCAGTACGTCCCTGTCTTAAATGATGTGCCTCCTCCTCCTCCTCCCCTCCCCGGGGCCGGTCGCACGCTGCCGGGCCAACATCCTCTGACTTCCTGTGGCTGGCTGGCCTCCGATTGAAATGCACCTCGCAGCATTTACGCCCTGCCGACCGAGGTGTATCGAGATCAGCTTGCGGCGGTCAATGTCCGCCGGCACCGGTGGATTGAGGGCCGGCACTTGGACCTGCCGGCCGGCTTGGTGCCGGCTTTTCCATTCGGGGTGGCCGATGACCCGGCACTGGGGCTGCTTTCGGCGGTCATTGGCCCGAGCCCGGCCGGGGCTGTGTCGGCCCCTGCTGTGAGCCCCGACTCCGCGGGTCGGACTCTGCGTGCATTTCAACTCTGCGTCGATGGTGCGCCGTGCCTCCCGATGCATACATACACACACACACACACATGCACGCACACAGCGGAACATCCACTGGCGCCCCCGGCTGGGGGATGGGCGCCCCTGTTTGCGCGCCCCATGTTGACTGCTTGTCCGGGATGTGCCCCTTTGCTCGGTGGTCCAGCCCTCGGCCAGATGGGGCAGTGCTTTGCCCCGGGGCAGAAAATCGAGCGGCTGATGCTGGCCGTGAGGCTGATCATCCGGATCCTGCGCACGGCCGGGATGGTATCCTCGGCGGAGCACATGCTCCCCCTGCTTGTGGTGGCCCTCTGTCGATCGAGCCTGTACGAGTGCATGGTGGCCACGGTGCAGTTTCTGACGCGCTTCCGGCCGGAAACCACCGCCCCGGAGGAGGACTACTACATGATGATGTTTGTGCGTCCAAATCCGCCCTTCGCCCCGCCCCGGCGGCCTCTTCGGCCCGCGGTGGCCGGGCCCGCCTGGGGGACACGCTTCTCGACATGCCCAACTGATGCTTCTTTTTTTTTTCATTTCCCCCTCCCTTCCTCCCGCCGCCCCCGCCGGGATGGATCTCCCCCAGACTACGGCTGTTCACTTCTTGGAGACACTCGACCGGAAGTCCCTCTCCATCACGGACGGCGAATACCACCGGCTGGTGACCGCCTTCCGGGAGTATGCTCGCTCGGAGGAGAGCCTGGCCAAGGCACGCGCCGCTCTTGACCCCTATGCCGGGCTCCTATCGCACCTGGGCCCCGAGACAGCGAATGCCTCGGAGACGGCCGGCCTGCCGGGCACGGCGGGTGGTGGGGCGCTGGCCGCCCTGCTGCCTGGCCCCGGGGTGGTCGCCATGGCTGCTTCACTGGCACCCGGTCCTGGGAGCGGCGGGGGAACACCCGGGCAGGTGGCTGTCTCCTCGGCCTCCTTGAGCCTGGAGCCGGTGCGGGCATTTTCCGACGCGCCAGCCGGGGGATGGAATCGCACCGGCCGGACAAACCCCAAGGCCCGGGCCGCCCCACCCGTGTCCGAAGAGAAGCCCTCGCCCATCTCGGACGAGGACTTCGTGTGGGTTCGCGCACCCAATGCCCCGGGGTCTCTGTCGCCGCCGCCGCCGCCGCCGCCCGCACCGGCGTCCCTGCCCCCGGCAGCAGCAGCAGCAGCAGCAGTCGCCGAGCCCGAACTAGCCCCGAGGCAGCCGATTGGGCCATCCTCGCCGTCTGTGCAGGCGGTGTCCCTGCCGAGTCCCTTCCAGCACCAGGGCGGCCCCTTCCCACAGCCAGGGCAGGGACCTGGCTCGACGCCCGCCGGCGTGGGCTTGCTCCTGCCAGATCTCCCGGTCCCGGTGATGACTGATCATGTGCCCGCAGGGCATGTGTCCATCTTGTGAAATAGGACACGTGTATCTCCCTTTTCTTCTCTGTTCTGGTGCACTTTCTCCCCGCGGGGCGGGAGGGGCCGCTGGCAGTCGGGGGCTGGGTCGCTGCGCCGGTGGTTCAATGGGCCCCGGCGACAAGGGGGGGGGGGGGGGGGGGCAGCGATGCATCCGTGGTCAGCCTGGGCATCAGCCTCCGCCTGGTCCGCCGCCGGCCCCTCGCATCGGCCTGTCGCGTCCCGGTGCCCCGGGCGAGCTTCCTCGGAGAGGCCTGCATGGCACCTGCCCGCCTGGTGTCGCGCTCCCTCCATCGAAAGTTACAGGCCTGCCTATAAATGCCCCCAAGATGGGTTCCGGGCGCCCCACGCAGGCAGCTACTGCAGATTTCTCACCCTAGATACCATCTCTCACCTGCCTGGCTTCCGCCCTCTTTCTTGGGTACGGGGGGGGCCCGCTTGGGGGGGGGGGGGGGGGGGGGGGGGGGGGGGGGGGGGGGGGGGGGGGGGGGGGGGGGGGGGGGGGGGGGGGGTGCGGCCGGCGACGACCGGCAAGCGAGTCTGCCGGTTGCCTACGACGATCGGAGGTGCGGCGGACTGCCCGGGGGAATAACGAGGAAATAGTTGAATTAATAAACTGCGTATAGCTTCGCGGTCCGGTGGGATCCGTGCCATGCTGTTCCCGCCCCCCGCCTCCTCTCCAGGGGCGACGGCGATGCCAATATTATCATTACTACTTTTGCTGCCCCGGCGGAATCCGACCGAGGGCTGTTGTGGGTTGAGAGGCTCGGCCATATCGCCCCTCCTTCCTTTTGCTCTCCCTCCTTCCCT